AAGAACCAGGGCCAGGGAGATAGCTCTGCAGCATAAGTGCCAGCTGGCAAGTGTAAGGCCCTGAGTTCCATCCCTGGTAGGGAGGTAGGTAGATAGGTCAATAGGTAGGTAGGTAGGTAGGTAGATAGATAGATAGATAGAAAGGAAGAAAGAACGAAAGAAAACCAGGGCTAAACCTGACATTCTACTGTGCCCCCCCAAACTTCTGATTTCTGGACCCCACCCTCCCATCCTAAAACATCTTGAACTCCATTTCTAAATATGTCACTTTCTTGACTTCATGCAGAATTCTCTTCTGGCCTGTGAGTTTCTTCTCCAGAACGGGGCAAATGTGAACCAAGCGGACAGTGCAGGCCGGGGTCCACTCCACCATGCAACAATTCTTGGCCACACTGGGTAGGACAGCAGGGATCCTTCCTGGGTCACAGGAAGGAAGGCTCCAGAAGGCATGAAGACAGGAGAGGTGTGCTAAATATGGTTATCCCCTCAGGCTTGCCTGCCTGTTCCTGAAAAGGGGGGCTGATCTGGGAGCCCAAGACTCTGAAGGCAGAGACCCTCTGACAATCGCCATGGAAACAGCCAATGCTGACATCGTCACCTTGTGAGGATGCCTAAGGGTGTGGGCTGGCACTTGGACCATTCCTTCTGGGTGGGGCTAAGGCTAACACCAAGCCTGCCCAGTGTCTGGTGTGGGCGCTCAGGGAGGGGCAGGACCAGAGCCTGGAACTGGGCAGAAAAGGACCACACTCCCAGGGTGGATTGGACCAGGAATAGGAAAGTTGGCATGCAGGGTCAAGGATAGGCACTCATCCTGAGTCCAATTCCCACAACCATATTGCTGACAGGCATCATTTTAAGCACTTGACACTGGAGAGAAAGGTGAAGGAAACCCTAGGGAGTGAAGAGTGTCGTTTAATTCTCAATCTTCTCCCCTTCAGACTTCGATTGGCAAAGATGAGAGAGGCCGAAGGCCAGGCAGGTAAAGTATTCACCCGTCCCTCTTACCCCGGCCCAATACTGAGATTCTGGGCTTCTGGATCTTGGTGACCTGTCCCTTTCTTGCCCAACTGTCCCTCTCGCTACCTGTCCCTCTCGGTCTCCCTGCCTCCCTCCATTATTTATTCAATAAATATATATCCGTCGGATCCGATGATCCAGGGCCTCGGACCAAGAATAGGCAGGGGCGCCGCGCTCTGGGCTCCCAAGTTCCTGGCCGTACCCTCCACACCCAGGTCAGCCTACATGGGCTTCCGAGCCAGGGCCCAGCCTGTCTGGCCTCGGCCTTTCCTCCCATCCTTCAGGAGATGAGACCTATCTCGACATCTTCCGCGACTTCTCCCTCATGGCATCCGACGACCCGGAGAAGCTGAGCCGGCGAAGTCACGACCTCCACACTCTTTGATCCCAGGCCCTGGGGGCCCGCACCCCAGCTCCTCCTCTCCCCACAGGCGTCCCTTGTCCATTAAAGCCTCAGTGCTTTGCTCTTCTCTTCGTAGTTCACTTTACTGCCGCCACCTTTGGGTCGATAGGGTGTTGGGCGCTGTGGCTTTAGGGATGCAGGGAGCGGTTGGGAGTTTTGGAGCTCGAGTCCCGGGGTCAGCGACTCGCCGGGGAGCACTGTGGCTGCGCGGGCCTCGGCGCCGGGTGGCTGGGGGTGGGGTGCGACTCTCAGACTCGGGCGGTGAGGCCAGACCTGTCCGGCAGGGGCGGGGCGGGGCAGTCTTCCCTCAGGGCAGCTGGCGCTGAGCCGCCGGGAAGAGAGCTCCCAGGCACCCCGGAGGAGAGGTATCCCGGGAATGCAGTGGCTCAGCACCCGCCTCCTCGGGAATTCCCCATGGAGCAGCAGGGAAGGAACTGGTCCCCCGGCCCGCGACGGCAGGGGCCTTGGTTTCCTTCCAGTGGCCGGAAGAGGTTGCAGACGTGAGGCCCGGCACACCTGGAGGACCCCGGGGCTGTCGTGGCCACATCCGGAAAGACGCGCATGAGTCACCCCACTCCCACTCGTGTCCGCTCGTCCATCCAGTCGGCCCTGTCCCTGCTGTGGATGACTACCGGCTCCCACCTCCACCCAGCGGCTGCAGCCCCAAGGGGGCAGGGGCGGAGCGCCAAGGGGCGGGGCTGCCTCTTAAAGGGCCCCGGCCGCTGCCCGTTGGACATTTCCTGGGGACGGAGACCTCTGCGCCCTGCCGCGACATCCGGGGAAGGCTGCGACGACGCCCAAGTTCCGAGACTCCGGACTGCTTCTATCAGAGCCCTCGGACACTGCCAGCTCAGGACACGCCCCGCAGCAGCAACAGCGAGGGTAGTCATCCGCTCCCATCGGCTCCGTGTCGGTATCCTGGGGCCGGTGCCTGGAGCCTGGCCCGGCCTCTCACTGACCCCTAGAGCACTGTGTGGACTCGCCTAGGGCGACAGCGATCTTCCTAGAAACTCAGAAGCTGGACCCCTCAAAGAATCGGGCCTTTGCTCACCACCGTCACCTGCTGGCTGAATTCCGGAACCCCACTGTCTGAAGACCACAGAAAGAATTGCTGACCACCCAGAATTGGCTACGTCTGGACAGAAGGCTCTCTTTTCCCCTTACGGCTGCCCTCTGCTCTTTTCATCTGTTCCCTCAACCTTTCGGGGATTTCTGTGTCTAAAATTCCCACTCCACCATCAAAATAGCTACAAACTTTGCTAACTTGTACTCCAACCTGTGCCTCCAATCCAGCAATTCTGAACAATACCACCCAATCTTGCAAACACTCAGGAAGTTCTGCCTTTCCTTCTCCTTCCTTGTCTCCTGTATTCCCCAAAATTTCCCCTCCTCCTGTGCCCTCTCCGCCCCCCTCCTTTGGGGGCCCTGTGACCCTGAATGTGGGGGGCACACTATATTCTACTACTTTGGAGACCCTGACACGCTTCCCAGACTCCATGCTGGGGGCCATGTTTAGGGCCGGCACCCCCATATCTGCCAATGGCAATCCCCAAGGAGGTGGCCACTACTTCATCGACCGTGATGGGAAGGCCTTTCGACACATCCTCAATTTCCTGCGACTGGGCAGACTGGACCTGCCCCTTGGGTATGGAGAGACAGCACTTCTCAGGGCAGAAGCTGACTTCTACCAGATCAGGCCTCTCTTGGATGCCCTGAGAGAACTGGAGGCTTCTCAGGGGACGCCTGCACCCACGGCTGCCCTGCTTCACGCAGATGTAGATGTCAGCCCTCGCCTAGTACACTTCTCTGCTCGCAGGGGCCCGCACCACTACGAGTTAAGCTCTGTCCAGGTGGACACCTTCCGAGCCAACCTCTTCTGCACTGACCCAGAGTGTCTGGCTGCCATGCAAGCCCGATTTGGTGTGGCCAGTGGGGACAGGGCAGAGGGGGGCCCACATTTCCACCTGGAGTGGGCCCCCCGCCCCACAGAACTCCCTGAGGCGGAGTATGAGAGACTAGGGCTGCAACCATTGTGGACTGGAGGGCCAGGAGAAAGGCGCCAGGTGGTGGGAACACCAAGCTTCCTGGAGGAGGTTCTCCGGGTGGCTCTGGAGCATGGCTTCCGCCTCGATTCTGTCTTCCCCGACCCTGAAGACCTGCTCAACTCCCGATCTCTGCGCTTTGTTCGACATTAAAGATGTGGCTCTCGGTTTGCTTGTGGAGAAAAGACAGAATGGGGTAGCTGGGGGGTAAGGACTCCCCTGAAGCCTCTTTCTAGTTCTAGTGTGGGAGCTATGAGGGTCAGGAGGTCCACTACACCTGACTGGAGCCCAGATATGGGCTGGAATTCCAGAACCTGAGCTCACTGAGGGCTCAAGAGTGATCCAGGAGGTCTGGACTGGTGTTTATCCTGGGGTGGGGTGGGGCAGTAAAGATTCTCTTGGTTTGTTCTTGCTTGAGGCTGAAGACCTCCATCCAGGGTGTCTGTTGAAGCTCAGTATTAAGAGATTTAGAAAAGTGGAAAACACATCTATGTCTAGCCTAGACCTGGCAGAACCCTGGAGGGACGCTGAGGTGTGGGGGAAAAAAGGTGTACTTTAGATTACTTTAATATGGGGTCTCCTGGACTGTGGCCTTCCCTCCTAGATCTGAGTGGCCTGGTGTGGACAAAGAGAACTCAGAACACTCTGGGACACAGGAGGGGAGCTTCTTTGGTGTCTCAAGCCACCTACTGAGGGGGCCAGCACAGCCTCCATAGGTTGACATACAATCTATAGGAGCAAGGCCCTGGGAGTGCCCTTCTGGAACTCCAGATGTTTTAAACAATTCTGTTTCGAAGGTGGGGCTGGCCACAGGGAGAAGTTGGTCTCTTTTGTGTGGCCTTCATGTGTGTGCGCATGTCAGCCAGTGTGTGTCTGACTAATGGCATCGCTCCTTGGCATCTAAGTTTCCGTCTGTGTTGCTGACTACAGTGTCTACGTGATGGTCCTTCTGTGATCCCTGCATGTCCAGGCGTGTTTGATGTTGCCCAGCAACTGTTCTGGTCCAGGTTTATCTGTGGTATGAGTGTGAGTAGATTGAGATTTAGTTTAATCATAGGGCGTGTATGTGTGTGCGTGTGTGTGTGTGTGTGTGTGTGTGTGTTTATGTGCCTGCAATCACCATGTAGGCAGGAGGGGCCTATTTGCATTTGAGTCACTACAATCTTCCTGTGAGAAGTAAAAGAAGTCACTCGGCCTAGCTGGGCCTCTGAGACCTGTAGGGAATGCTTGGTTGCCTCAGCAACCATGAGCCTGTTGCTAGGAGATAGCTGGGGGAAGGCCCAAGGCTGCCCTGGGCAGACAGAAGAGATGAACAGTTGGGGAGAGTGGGGGAGGATATGGGAATGGATGGAATCTCTGAGTTCCTGAGTGGACAGGATACACATGCATAATTTCTTCACTGAAGGAGTTATTCGTTATTTATCACCGATTGTTACAAGAAGAAAAATAAAATGCTTTTTGAACTACCGACTTGTATAGACCATTATCTGCAAGAGAAGCTCTGTTTTTTCTATCTCCTACTAGAAATGTCTTCTTCTGGCCTCTGCAAGTTCCTTCGGTCCCAGTTCCTCCTCAGCCTTGGATGAAGCAGTGGCATTGTTCTGGAACACTCTAGAAATTCCACCTGTTCCAGAACACTCAAGAACCTCCTAGGCAAAGGGCTGGAACCCAATTCCACAGTAGGCTGAGGACTTTCTAGCCCAGGTGGGACCAGCTCCCCTTCTGCCCCTCAGCAGGCTTCATGTGGATGCTGACACTAGGTGGGGTTTTCCTGGCAGCCACCCAGGCTTGTATCTTTTGTCGCCTCCCAGGCCATGACTTACCAGGCCGTCTGGCTCGGCTCACCAGCCAGATGGAGGCCGAGTGGAAGGAATGGGCCTCTCCAGACTTTTCAGCCTTTGCCTTAGGTAAGGCCGGACACCCAGAGCGGGCCGAGGCGTGGCCACCCCCACCCCCCAAGGGTGACTAGGGTGACTTTCTAGCTGTGCGCCTCAGCAGTTGCCTCAGTCCACATTCCTCTCTGAACACACTGGAATTTCCCTCTGGGAGAACTCGGGATCTCAGGCAAGGAAGACAGAGCCTGAAGGAAATTCTTTCCCTTTCCTTCCCATCCCCACAGATGAGGTGACAATGAACAAAGTCACAGAAAAGACTCACAGAGTCCTGAGGGTCATGGGTGAGGTCAAAGGGAAGGTGAAACCTAAAGGTGGGGAAGGGGGCAACGGGACGCATGGAAGGACAGAGGCAGATGGAGTTTTGAGGGCTGAACAGGAAGTGGCTGGAGGTAGGGGTGGAAGTGTTCTGGCACTGTTTTGGCCCAGAAGTCTAAACCTGCATTCTACCTCCCAGAGATCAAAGGGTCCATCTCCTCACTCCCTTCGTATTGGCAGTGGCTACAAAGGACCAAGATCCCTCAGTACACCAGGGAAGGTAAAGGTTCCAGAAGGGCATCAGAAGTGATAGGATTTGGGGCAAAGGGGTGTGTGATTGAGCGGCTCACCCATCTCCATCTCGTCTTTGTCCTTTATTTCAGCTCTCTGTGCTCCTGCCTGCCGTGAGTAGAAAAAGAGGGGTAGCAAGGCCGAGGGGCTCGGAAGGGGGGCAGCTAGAACAGGACTGGAGCCTCGATTTCCCCGGCCAGCGCTGCTTCTGCTATCTCCTGCAGGGGGCAGCACCATTCTGTACAACTGCTCTACCTGCGAGGGCACCGAGGCCTCCTGTTGGCCCCGAAAACGCTGCCTGCCAGGTGCTTATTTCCCACTTCTGTCCCGCCCTGATTCCTGAGCCTTTTGCTTGGCACCATCGCGTGCGTGCGTGGTCTCCGGGTTCATCCACGGCCTTCTGGATTCCCCGCAGGAAGTCATGATCTATGGGAAGCCAGGATTCTGCTCTTAACTGTCTTCGGAGCTGTTCTGCTTCTGGGTGCTCTGAGCCTCCTGGTGGAGTAAGTTGGGGGTGCAGGGCTGGAAAGTGCCTTTCCGATCCCCACCCAGTGCTCTCCCACGCCACCCACTGTCCTTTCTCCCAGCTTCCCGCCTTGACTTCAGCTGGCATCCCATCCTCTCTTCCCTCAGGAACGGCCATCTCCAAGCAAAAGGTGACTTGTGAAGAAGCTCTGAGGAGCAGATATCTACAGTGTTCACTGGCTGAGAATCAGCCATGCCTTAGTCCCAGCCCCAAAGACGCAGTCTTCTAAAGCCTAAAACCTAGATGTCCCAAGATCAATTCTAGCATCAGATGCCCTCCAGGGACCCAGAGACCCTTGTCTGGAAAATTCCTCTCCTCTGGCCCTCCACCAGTCAGACAGGGCAGTGGGCGATGCCAGGAAATTATCTACAGAGGGAAAGAATCCCACCCCACCCTCTGGCCCCCTCTGCCATTCCGGGAAAGCAGGGCCTGTCTGCTCCAGAATAGCCTCTGGGCCCTCCCATGACTGATTGGGAATCCGGGAATAAGAGTTCGGGAGAATTGCCTCCTTCTAGGGTGAGACCACATCAGTCAGCCCGCTGGCATGCTGTCTGTCCATTGTGTTCACAGTGTGCAGCCCTGGCCTCCTACAGAGGCCTCTCTCCTGCTGGGCCCAAGTAAAAGTGCTATTCAATGCCCTCATCTCTGCTTATCCTCTGCCTGCACTGGGGAGGGGAAGAGGGGCCTGGAAGCTCTCACTGTGGCTCAGAGATCTGAACCGGGGGTGATTTAGTACCCTGGTAGACGTTTAGCAACATCTGGAGACATTTTATGTTGTTTTGATTGGGAGGCAGTGCTACTGGCATTTAGTGAGTAGAAACAGGAATGCTGGTAACGGTCTACAATGCACAGATAGTCCTCACAACAAACAATTAACCTGCTGAGGCTAGGCATGGTAATGATTCTTGTAGTCCCCGTTCTTGTGAGGCTGAGGCAGGAGGATCACCACAGATTCAAGGCCAGCCTAGGTTACACAGTGAATTCAAGTCCAACCTGAACTATATAGTGAGACTGTCTAAAGAGAAAAAAAAATTAACCTGTCCAAATGTCAATAGTTCACAGATAACCCCGGGTATGCTGAGCAGATTACTGAGACCGGGTATGGTGGCACACTCCTATAATCCCAGCACTGGGGAGTCTCAAATGGGAGGATCACTATGAGTCCAAGCTGAGTAGTGAGACCCAAAAAAAAAAAAAAAAAAACCACCACACACACAAGGGCCGGGGAGATGGCTCAGTGGGATAAGCGCTTGACTGGCAAACTCAAGGAACTGAGTTCAATCCCCGGTTCTGAAAAAAAAAAAAAAAAACCCTACTCATAGAAACAAATAAGGAAAACAACGACAAAAAAACTCAACTACTCATGCTTGCACCCCACCTCCAGAATCAGAATTAAGTGGTCCCTTAGGGCTCAGCAGACTAAGTGCTTGCTTAGGTAAGCACAGGGGCCAGGGTTCGATCCTTGGCACCACATGTTGTGCTGGCCCCATCCCCAGGTGTGCTGAGCCAGCGATGGAGTCCGGGTGTGGTGGGCACATGCCTGTAATCCCAGCACTAGGGCACTAGGGTGGCAGAAATTGGGAGGCTCACTACAAATCCAAGCTGCATAGTGAGGCCTACGAACACACATGCCTTAAAAGAGTTAAGTGGTCCCCTATGGGCCTTGGTTAGTGTTACCTGCAACAAAACAACCATCTTTGGGATGTCTACAAAGGCCTTGTGGATGAAGAAAAGACCTCTCACACCTTCCATGAGATGACCTTTCTGGTTTTGTTTTTTTTTTTTTTTTTAGTACAGTACAGGGTCTACAAGGTCTCACTACACAGATCAGACTTGTAGTGACTCTCCTGTTTGAAGCCTCCCAAGCACTGGGATTACAGGCACGTGCCACCATGCCTGGCCTCAATCACATCTCAGCGTGCCCCGGAGTTGGGGCTGGCGCAGCACACCGGGGATCGTACCCTGGTCCCAGTGTCTGACTAAGCAGACACTTTAATCCACTGAGCTATCTGGCCAGCCCTTCTTTCTGTTTTAGACATGCTACTTTCTACATGAAATATGAGACCCCAGATCTCACAAGATCATACAACTCATTTGTTCATTTAATTGACAAATAATGAGGCATCACCACTGCCCAATGTGGGAGGAGAAGACTCACTTCCTGACAGCCCAGGCAGCACAGCTCCTCTGCACTGCAGCCACCGCCTTGTGCCCTCTTCCCATGGTATCTTCTTTCCAGGCTCAGCATTTTGAAATTGGTCTTATTTCCATGCTCATATCCAGTTAGATAAACAGTCCTTGAAAGACCTCTGTCTGGGGCTGGTGAGATGGCTCAGTGGTCTAAAGCACCTACTTAGAACAAGCTTAGCAAAACACAGGGACTGCGGTTCAATCCCCCAGCACCACATGCCAGCCAGCCCTGCCCCCTGGTGGGTTGAACTGGCCACACATACTAAATAAATAAATAAATAAATAAATGTATGTTTTTTTAAAAAAAAGACCTCTGTCTGTCCCCCAGCCCATCCTGAGTCCTTTCATACTGTACTCTAGTCCCCCAGATGCACCACCTGGTCCCCTTAAATACATGTCCCCCTCAGAACCACACTGGTTCTCCAGAAACATGACTTACAGCCTCCTTCTTAGGGCCACATAGTAGATAAGAACTTGGACTTTGGAGTTGAGGTGTTTGGTTTTCTGGCTATTACTCTTAGTGATTCTTGTGCAACTTATGTAATCTCTCAGTAAGCTTGCTTGCTTTCTTTCTTTCTTTCTTTCTTTCTTTCTTTCTTTCTTTTTTTCCTTTTCTTATGTATTTGGTACAGGGTCTCACTACACAGCTTGGACTCATAGTGATCCTCCTGTTTTCAGCCTCCCCAGCACTGGGATTATAGGCATGCACCAGCATGCCCAAACTCCATTGTGGGCTCAGTGCGCCCTGGGGGTGAGGGCTGGTGCAGCAGGTGGGACCAGAGTTCGATCAGCCTTGCCAAAGGCACTTAGTCTGCTGAGCTATCTCACCAGCCCTAGGTTTGGTTTGTTTGTTTCTGTCTTGCGCAGGAGATCCAATCCAGAGCTTTGCTAGGTAAGCACTCTTATCGTTGAGTGCCACAGCCTCAGCTCCAGTGTAACTTCTCTACTGCTCTATTCCTGGCATTGGAAATGGAACCCAGGTTCTTGTGCCTGTTAGGCAAGCTCTCTACAGTACAACTATGCTACATCCCAACTCGTTTTTATTTTTATTTTGAGATAGGATCTTGAAAAGTTGCTCAGGTTGGGATTGAAACTGCCAACCTACTGTCTCAGCCTCCCAACAGGTCACAAGGGATTAGCAAGGGTTTACCATCATGCCTAGCCTGTTTTTTTATGTGCAGATAACATATTTCTTTTGTTTATAGCCTTTTTGTGCACTGTTTTCTTTCCCTGAGAGAGAGAGAGAGAGAGAGAGAGAGAGAGAGAGAGAGAGTTTGAGGCAGGGTTTCATGATATAGTTCAGTGAATTTACCTTGAGGTCACTATGTAGCCCAGATTTATCTTGAACTTGTAGCAACCCTGGTGTTTCAGCTTCCTGAGTGCTAGGACTATGGTGCTTGCCACCACAACTGGCTCTTTTTAAATTTTTTTTTTATTTTTTATTTTTGTAAACTCAGAATATATATTTATTAACTGCATACATTGAGAGAAGGTAGACACTGATACCCTCAGAGCTATGAGTATAACAAGTGTCCACCTCCTGTTTATCTTTTTAAATTTTAGTATCTCTAAAGTGAGAATGCATTTTTTTTTTCTGTATTTAGGACAGGGTCTACAGGGTCTCATTACATAGATTGGACTCAATATCCTGTTTTTCAGCCTCCAAAGTGCTGGGATTACAAGTGCGCACCACCACGCCCAGTCTCATTCGCTGTCTCAGCATGCCCCGTGGGTGGCGCCGCCAAGGCACACTGGGGATCGAACCCCAGCTGCTGCACTCTGCCTAAACAAGCACTTTAGTTCACTGGCCCTGAGAATGCATTTTAAATCAAAAGTATGTCATGATTTAATTGGTGAGTATTTTTTTCTTAGCAATACATAATATATATAAAAAATACATAATATAGTGGTATTTCCTACAAATGATATCCTAAATTGATGAAATGTAGTAGTATTTGCCTTATACAATTGCTGTAAAGTTCAAACAAATTCATATAAAATGCTTGGAACTGAGAAGGACATAAAATGGGGGTTTACTAAATACTTCCCATCATCTCTTCCTTGAAGACCTTCTCCACCTCCTCCTTGCCTACAGAATGTAGATCTGGTGTTTCTTTACCCTGCTGTTCAAGGTTCTTCATCAGCAGCTCCCATGTGTCTTACCTGTTTCTCAGGCCAGAGCTGTACAAACATAGACCTAACTAGAATCTCTGCTCAAATGTCCACGGGCACCTCAGACTCCCGGTGTCCAAACACACCTCCCCGACTCCACAGCTCTCTTGTGATCACTCTCAAGATTCAGGGCATGGGGACCAACCAGATTGCTCAGCAGATTAAAGCATGTGAATGAGACTGGGTGTGGTGGTGCGCACCTGTAATCCCAGTGCTTAGGAGGCTGAAAAACAGGAAGGAGCACTGCAAGTCCAATCTGTGTAGTGAGACCCTGTCGATCTTGTACCAAATACATTTTTTAAAAAAATTCAGAGTAGTGCCAACAATATTCTGCACATCCCTTCTGTGGTGGATAGCTAACTGGTGGTCAACTTCTTTGTTTTTTGTTGTTGTTTGTTTGGGGTTTTTTTTGGCCGAACCGGGGATTGAACTCAGGCCCTTGCGCTTGCCAGGGAAGCGCTTATTCTACTGAGCCATCTCCCCTGCCCTGATCAACTTCTTACACCTAGCTAAACTGAACTAGTGTGGTGCTGGATGTGGGAGGCCCACCTGAGGGTTGTTGTCAGCAGCATAAAGGCAGAACAGGAGAAGCTGCTGAAACGCTGCTAGGGATGCTGTTTGGAGAGGCTGTTGGAGCTGTTAGAAACTGCTAGTTCTCTTGGATTGTTCTCCTCGAGGACCTTCTCATGCTGGCTTTTGTCATGAACCTTGTAGGAGCTTTGGTCCTCATTTTGAGCATCGCCTCCTGGCTCCAGAGGGGAAGATGTTGCACTGCTCAGCTTCGTGGAGAAGCTTGTTGCATTGGCTTTCCTGCTGGGAACTCGGCTTTACTCATCACCGAAGGAGCTCAGGACCTCACTGCTGCTGAGGACGGCTATGGTACTTTTGCGGGCACTTTGGCACTTACCTTGGTCGTTGCTTCCCAGCTCCAGTTCAGATCCTTCAGACTGCTAA